GTCTTGAGAAAAGGAACTGTCTCACACTGGGCTCATTTGGCTGCTGGCAAGTCAAGCCATGAATCATAGTCAACCTGATGCCAAAACAAATGCTTAGATTAGATGTTGCATTAGGTCGAGGCTTGTCACAAGCCTTGATGGAGTTGAGGCTGAAGTTGAAGGGGTCAGTGTTACTTGGGAGTTTAAGCACCTCAAGGAGGTCCTGAAATGACTGTCTGTAGTTATTTTCAATAAAAAATACAGTCAAAGGTATAAAAAGCAGCATACCTAATCATGTCTCATTCACCAGTTGTTCTGGTCAATTCAGTCTGTATGAGCTCACTTTGAAGCTTGGCAGCCTCCAACTGCTCCTGGATAAGCTGATGATCCACATGCACATATCCATCCTGTAAATGTACTTAGGTTGCTGTATTAGCATACATTAATACTCATGTCAAAATACATGTGTGAGCCTGAGCTTGAAGATGGCTGAGAGATGTTTGGCTGTCTACTCAGAGACTCATTTGAATAGAGGGAATTGGAATTGCTGGATAGAAGGGTGGACATAGTGGTTGGATGATAAGATGGATGTCCCATATGACCATGTTAATCCATTTAGCAACTCCTGACATTTCTGATTTTCTCTAAGTCCCTTTAAGATATTGCTCACATCTTGTTATGACTCTCCCTGACATTGTGCAGCAATTTTTTAACTTACCTTCTGAAGATGAGCTTGATGGATATCTTCAGCAGGATGTTAGGTATGGTCTTAACAACCTATATACTATCTCTATTTGTTTTGATGTGCTTACTAGTGCTGATACCAGTCAAAGCTTTGGCAGCAGTCCTCGATTAACAACTTCTGACAATTGTCTTCTTGACCCAGCCTTCTGGATTAAGCACCCCACTAAGCTTAACACTATAAGATGACTTATCTGGAACTCAGAAGAGGTACCACAGCCTGCTGCAAAAGATGACTGGTTAGATGAGTTGTAAGTGAATCACAATGTTAATTTAATTTTCTGACTTTACATTGCTTTAAAGGTTAGTTGAACCATTCGTAGAATCAGATGTTATTCCTGTCCTATTAAATCAACTTTTGACTCCTCAACCTGATCATGTCCATATGCAAACTTCCAGCTCCATCACCGAGCCTGAATCAGATGTTATTCCTGTCCCATTAAATCAACTTTTGACTCCTCGGCCTGATTGTGTCCATACACAGACTTCCAGCTCTATCATTGAGCCTGAATCCAAATCAGATGAGCTCTCATCAAACTCATTTGACCAGCCTATTCTTAACTGTAACAGTTTCTTTGCAATCCCCAGTCCATCCCCACTGGGTTCACTCTATTGGAACTATTTTACACAGGAGGAAGAGGCCAAATTTTATGACTGCTCTTGAACCAATGAAGCATTTTTGAAATCTGTCAGAAAAAATATGAACTAGAGGTCTCATTGGGTAAATAGTCAGAAGTATTACTCATACAGTCATGTCTTCTTTGCCGTCACTCAATGTCATCCATGTTTTCCTCATCATCATCATCTTCATCATCCTAAGCACCAGGTCCTTCATATGGTACACCAAAGGTCATGATGTCAAGCCCTGGTTTCTCAACAAGAAAAGCCCTATTCTCTACCACTCTAGATGGTAATCTGGGCTTGTGGGGTACCATTCCAACTACAGCTTTGATAGACTTGACATTGACAATTTGAATGTCATCTTTGAGGTGAGCACATGAGCTCACTGCTTGGAAGGAGAGGTCAAGGAGGTCCATATCAGGCTGAGAATACATCACAACAATGGCAATATCCTTCCAGCCCCATATTGGTCCATCTTCTCTAATGCCAGACTTGGCTACAAGTCAGGTGAAATACTGTATTCAGCAAGTTGGACATCACCATCAAGAACTAGCTAAATACAAGTGAGTGAAGAGATGAACTAATAGATACATATATACCTTCACATTGCATGAAACACATATAGGCCTTTCTCCATGCAGTTCATACAATTTGCCCATTAGGTAGTCATAAGTGAGCCCACCAGTGAATCTTGTGTGCATCAAGACCAAGGTAGGCTTCAATGGCTATAGTTTCAGCATGGGATGGATGAATAGCATTACCAAGATCAATAGCAATACTAGGAATACCTCTTGGAGGTACATCAAGTTCTGGGATTATGGCCTTTAGTGCATTGACTTGACAATGGTGAACATCCTCTCATGAAATATTTGAATATGGATTTAAGGGCTGGTGAATTTGCTGGCCAAGGTTGCCAATTGTGTGCTCCATTGTCTACTGTGAATAACAAATAGGCGAGCCCTTTTAAATAGTCTGTGTAACAAGATGACTGACTTGATGTACACAAGGATGAATAAAATGAAGGTGTTTAGCACACTGCTCATAATATAAGAGCTCAAACTCCACTTCCCATTCATTGAAGGCAGTATGAGCAGCTTGTAATTCTGCAACAGATATGGAGTGCTAGTTAATAAGACAGAATGCATGCATGATTTAACAGTAGTTGCACCAGTATGGTTGGGAGAGAACATTAAAGAGAAGTGCTGGCCCTAAGCCGAAAATGTATATCTGAAACTCCCAAGTTTTGTATCCAGTATTGATTTTTTGGGCTGGATCTTGAAATGAGCCAGGTAGGTACTGACTAGTAGCAGCTACAGCAGCTCCATGCACCTGCCACATATTAATATCTTGGAAGATAGCCCACAGCCATGTTGATAGATGATTGGGAGCAGTGTAATCAATCTTTCCCCTCCACAATGACAAGAAAAGATTAGCAAGCAGCTGAACTAGATGCATAATGTTGGGTGTGAGACACTGCAGGACTCCAAGTGTGTGCTTAAGATCAAGACCAATCAAAAGGCTGGGCTTCATTAAACCTATCTCCTTCTTAAGCTTATGGTATTGCATATCATTAGGTGCAGCCACAAGCCTCTCCATATTTGCAGCATATTCAAGACTGGATCCAGATAAGGGGATGGTGTTGGTATTGATGTCAGGGTGATCACTGTCAGGGGAATGATAATTGTTCAATATAAGCAGTGCAGGATAATAGTGTGTACCTATCAAAATAGTGACTTGGATGATGAGAATTTATTTAATCAGAATGAATAGATGCTTACCCTTGCATTGTCCCTGGATTCCACAATACACATGACACCTATTTTTACCACTGTGCCCAACCATGCTGTTGAAATAAACAAGACCAGGTCCATCCACAGTCGTAAAAATGAGATGGGGATGGGACATGAATATGGTTCTTGTGGAGGCATTCCAGATGCGCAACCCTTCCTTCTGTAATGCACTAAGATAATGCATTCCAGGGAAGAGAAATGAATCGACATTTTTCAGATTGTTCAGACCAGGTATAAAGCCACCAGGAAGGACATATTTCTTCTGATATTATTCTCCAGGAGCATGGTTCATCACAATCCATATGTATATCCAGCAGTTGGACTGTTTACTCTCATATAACTGAGCACTGTCCATTGAGATCATCAAGACAATATCATCCTTCGTGATATCACCACAAGCAACAGCATGGATGTGGCTACTTCCCATGACAAAATCATTGAACACATCAATCTAGCCTCCATGTTCATGTAGAAGATTAAAGATGTGTTCCATTTCATTCTGAAGATGAGACATTTTTTCAGCATGACTGGGATCACACCATAGTGCTTGGAGCTGGGCATCCAGTGGAATTGTAACAAATTTGCACAATGCAACTTTGGTCCAACCCCCACTAGTTCACAGTTTGATCACATCATAACAATCATGACCACAGATGGGGCAATGTTCAAGATGAGAGAATGGCCCTGTGAAAGCTATGCAAGACTCTGGACACATGTCATGTTCAATTGACTTGACTCCAGTAAATTCAGCAATGAGGTGCTCTATCTGGTAGTAACTGGGTATATCATTTGCATCTCCAGCAAAACAATGTCCTGCAGATCTGCAGATGCATTCATATGCATCTTGAGCTGAATGCTTGAGTGCAAAATATTCAGATATTGCAAAGTGAATAGCTGGCTGATTAATCTCAAGGGATGCTTGGTGAGGTTTGTGAAGATGGTGCAAAGCATTTTGTAAAGCATGAATAAATTCAATTGTATTCTTCATCTTGGGGAGTATTGCAAGAGTTGCAAGCTTGTCAACATCAATGGCAACATGGTGGTGCTCCGGAAGAGCTTGGGCAGGTGGAGGAGGACCTGGAGATGGTGACCACTGCAGGAAAAGTCCTCATCAGGTAGAGGAGGATCCAGAGATGGTAACTGCTGCAGGAAAAAATCTTCATCAGGTGGAGGAGTGAGAGAGTGTCATGGAAGACTCCAATCTGGAGATTTTGACAGACCATCATCATTGATGTTGTCATGCTGACATTTGGAAGGACCTGCTTGTGGAAAGTCACAATTGGACTGGAAGAAAGCATGGATTTGACACTATCAGTAGCAAGTAGAATCAATATAACACAGCATGCACTTACCACCTTGGCACTTGTATCATCTGCCAGCTGTTCTCAATTGAGACAAGCCTTTCTTGTTCAACAAGCTTCTTCTCTTACTTCTTGAGCAGCTCACCTCACAATAGCCTGCTGAGCTTGTCTGTGATGTATACTGACAGGCAGAGAGGAAGAAGGCCCAGCCTCAGCCTGAGCTGGGTTTTTATTCATAGTACTAGTAGATACTGTAGCTGTAAGCAGGTAGGAATACCATGTAATGTAAATGCACTTATGATCTCTTGCAATGAAGGCAAAAATGAGTGATGCTATGACAGAGATATGGGGAGTTTGGTATATAAAGATGCAGAAATGTAATTACTTGCAAACAAATGCATGCAAACAACACACACATGAACAACATACAATTGCAGAATATCACACAAATTTCCATTTCGCAGTCTATACCATCTATGACCTTATCAATTATAAAATTCTCTTATATCACCCATTCTCAGCCTGTGCAGTTCTGACTGGGATTGATGAGGTGTTTTTAGTAGACAAGCATGATAGTACTATATCTGATTATACACCCAGTGGTGACTCAGAGGCAGATACTGACATGGATGCTGATGATGACTTACAGGAACCTGAGTCTGTCATACAGTTTCTGTCAGCTGAAGTAAGTACTGCTACTGTCCTAATAGAGTGCTAACCACAACTTCAATTGATATCACTCAGATACCAACATTTGTCTCAATGTTGGAGGTCAAAAGGTATGACTTCCCACTGACCAAACCAACCTGGCCTCATATATCTGCATCAAAGCTGATGCAGAAAACTGGACCATCTCTGTCCAAACAAATTGTGGGTACCAAGGTCAGTTGATTATTTATCCTGCAAGTAGACTCTGCCATCTAGTATGCTAAAGAAAACTCACACCTCATAGCTAAGGGAGACAGCTGAACCATTCCCCTTCTCATTGGCCCAACCAAGGGCCCCTGTGACTTCCATGGTAAGTTTTCCCCTCAATTCCATCTGTGCTGAAAATAACTGACACTTGATTGCTGCCCCTCAACAGACAAAAAATCAGCTCAAGACAGGTGGTCATACCATTGTAAGTTGCCATCCATGCTGAAAATAATAATCATTGACTGATGCCTTCAGCAGGCAAAGGCTCAGTCTGCATGTGATCATAAATGAGAAAATGAGGTGAGTTCACTTCTCTGATGGTTCCTGTTTTTATTGATGTCATGCACTACAGACACCTATTTGGGCAGATGATTCCAATGATGTGGAGGAACTTGAGGCTGCATCAGATGACCACAATGATCCCAAGTCTCCAAACAACAATGACAACAATGACTATCATTATCATTCTGAGGAGCTGTCATATCCACATATCTGGATCTCAGATCCAATCCACATCTTATCTCTGATCCCTTCCACATCTTATCTCCCTCTAACATCTCATCATCCAATCTGCCACTCATCCAGTCTGGTCCACAATTCATCTGAATCCACAATCAGCGCTTGTCTCCTTTCAGTAGTCCCCTAACTCCGGTATTTCAGTTATCTGTATATCTGTTCTGCTCACTGATCCATTACCTATGTTTCATTTCCATTTCATTATTTGTGATCCATTTCTACTTACCAATAGACTATCCATATGCTTCGTACATAGCCTCAGACCCTGCTGATTGATCATTCCATTAGATACCTATAGTATATAACCTCCTATAACTCTCTGTAACACCTGAGTTCAAATATCAACTTAGTTCTGCTCATTTCTGTCCTCTGGATCTGAGTACCTCTACTCTTGTCACCCTCCGAGACTTAGGATTGATTCCTATAGTCTATCCATATCCACCTCTGTCTACAACAGCCCACTACCATTAGTTTCTAGTCTGGACTCATCTGGATTAGCCTTACAATACTTAATCTGCATCTGGAAGTCATCCAGATCTGCTATGCTACTTGTCCGACCCTCCAGACATGTTAGTCTTGTCTTCCTGAAATGAGGGGCAATACTCAAGTAAGGGGCACAGTGCACAAGCTGAGGCTGAAGCCCTTCAGATCCATTTAGCCTTGAGTACAACCTTAACAGGAGCCCAGACTTGTATGGAGTGCAAACACTGGAAAGTTAAAGCTCATGGATCAAGATAGTGAGACCCATTGTGTCATCCAGTGGGCAATACTGGAAGCAAAGGTTCATATGACCTTTGTCAATAGCTATCCAGACATTATGGAGAAAAACCAATTTATGCAAGATGTGCTCTTAACTGCAGCTTGTGCTACAAACTAGGATAGTTGTAACAACAGCAGCTCGATAAGAGTGACAGCTGATGTCATGATCAAGACCTTGTAAATACAAGGGTCATTAAGACAAGACAAAGAGAGTGTCTCTGACTTGAATATCGGTTCAGACGACTTAGGATTGGAGGTCCTAAGCGAAAGATGTTCCAGGTAAAACCTAGTAAGATTAAAGTAAAGATCTCCTAAGTACATGACCAGGTATATATAAGATGTAACTGCTTTAGGGCAGGTATGTATATGTCAACAATGAGTCAGAAATAAGAGATGAGTCAGCGATAAGAGATGAGTCAGAAATATGGAATGAGTCATCTAACGATGGCTGCAGCAATCGCAATGTAATACAACTATAGAAGGGAATGAGTCTAGTGATGGCATGGTATGGCACAGTCATGACGTAATACAGGTAATATGAGGAAAATGAATAGGGGTGAGCATAACTGTAACAGCTTGCACCTGGAGTGTCATGCCCATCTATGATCATTTCCAGACTAACAACTTGTATGCATCTGCACTTGCAACTCTGGTAAGTCATAACTTTTCAAGGGGTGCTACTATAACATTGTATGTAGGTTGATGCTCAAGTGCTGCTTTTTTGTACTGAATTGAAAGATGATGCTTGTGCACAAGTCACACATCAGGCATTTGACCAGAATTTGATAATGATTTAGCTAGCTTTATTTAATAAATAATATTAATAATATGCATCACAATTGTAGACCTCATGATAAAAGAATAGATAGGCAGGTTATGTAGGTGAAATCTGCCAAAGCTGTAACATTGACATGTCTATGGTATCAGGTTGTGATCTACTGGCATGCTGGTGTGTTGTTATCAGATGTGACAGTATGCTTTGGTGCGACATTGGTTCATCACCATCTATCATAATGTTAATATTCTACCATACACATCTAGTGTTAGATAGGCAGGGTCCAGTGGCCAAAGCTACAATTGCTAATAGCATGCCCTGTTGTGACATTGGTTTACCACCATCTATCATGATGTTGATATTCTACCGTCAATATCTAGCTTTAGATAGGCAGCTTCCAGTGGCCAAAGCTACAATTGCTAACAGCATGCTTTGGTGCGACATTGGTTCACCGCCATCTATTGTGATGTTGGTATTCTACCCTATACGTCTAGTGTTAGATAGGCAGGGTCCAGCAACCAAATCTATAACCACTAACAATGTGCTAGGGGATGATATTGAATCATGATAGCATATCATGATGGCAGTGTTCTATCAAGCATGTCTATGCATCAACAGTGTGCTGGTGTTTGACACAGAGCTATCACATTGTAGCACCCTGGTGGAATTCTGCAAAATATGTCAAGCCTTAGATAGGCAGCTTACAATGGCAGTATCTGCCATCATCAGCAGTGTGCTGACATTTGACACTGAGCTATCATGCTATAGGAAGTAGTTGCTATTTTGTCAAAGATACATATTTCTACAAGGATAGCCTGTGATGGTGATATCACATCAAGAAGATGCCTGGTTATCTTAGTGTAGCAAGATGCTCATGTCTTATCAGCAATGCACATGATTGCAAGGATGGCTTTTGATGGTGCCATCAATAACAGCCTATCTGGGTGTGATACCAAGTTATCTCATATTAGCATGTCACTGATATGCACAAATTCCAATAAAGATTTCATGTGTGGTATTTGATTCTATGGAAAGACTATTTATTAATGAATTATGAACTATTGACTACAAGGCATATAGAACAGCATCACATTATGAGACAACAGATCAATCAGTGTTAGCATCAGCCCATGCACGAAGGGCAGCGCGTTTTTCTTGAATTTTGAATAGTGTGCCATTTTTGCTGATACTCCGCTCTGAAGAGGAGGAATTGGGAAAAATGTGACTGTAAGGTGTTAATGTAGAGCTCGGAGATGAAGAACTATGATACAAACCATGTCTACCATGTCATCAGGTCAGTTACTTCCTCAATTTCATCAGGGTCCTCCAAGAGGTCAAGAATACTATGATAAAAATTTTCTGAGTCCATCACAGTGTCTGTGTGTGAAAATACAGATGAGGAGCTCAACGCAAACCAAACCTGGAGGAACAATCAGTAGGAGCACACCATTATGAATGGTTTAGCTCACCTGTGTCACAATGTAGGCCAGGGAACCTTTTGTAACAGACTTCATGCCATGGAGGTACACATTACCAGAGCGCTGTAGGGAATGAGATCCCTCTAGGCATATATCACCCATATTATGACTCACAACAATTGGTATAGTGTGCAACTCACTATCTATGACTTTCCCGCAAAACGCGCCAGAGGTGCAACACTTTCCCGCACTATGCAATGCATTCCCATGCACGCGCTTGGTTGCCCTTTGTTGCACAGCATCCTGGAGCATCCATCCATCATCCAACCAGTTTCCTAGTGAGTCCTTTCCTGCTTATTCTCATATCAGACCATATTTAGCATTATATGACACTATATTTCATCATGGACCCTTTATTTACATCATTTACATACTTAGAGCACTCCCTGTTCGCTTCTGAGCCCTGGGAGCGCACCTAGGCACAGCTTACCTGTTGCCTAGGAAGTTTTCAGGACACCGAGCAACCAACCACTACCACAGAATATACACCAACCACCACCACAGAATATACACAGAACCACCATCATGTCACTTAGTATCTAGTTAGCATCTAGCAGTTAGAATCCATCATGAGCCAGCATCTACCATAGTCATCACCCTAGTCTTCAGCAGCAGCCAATCATCATCTTTTACACGTTCGTGCACTGCGTGCGCCCTATTCCCACGCTTCGCGCACCTACATACTCGACATTCCCATGCACACACTTTCAGCACACTTCACCAGAGTTGACCTGGTGTCACTTCATGGATTTGCTTTCCTTGCTTCCCTTAAGGGTCGAACACATCACTCGGCACACTTTGACCAACATCTGGAGAGTCAGTAGGCCTTCCTCTCACCCCAGAGGTAGAGCCCTCTTTCTTTCTTTTGCTCTGCAGCCTAGCAGAGTAGTTGAACCTTCAGTGTGTGGCTTTTGGCTCCTTCTCCATGGAGCTTGGAGATGTAAAAACATGTTTGAAACCCTGGAAGGGAAATAGAATTGAGCAAGAACTTGACCGCTAATAGTGAACTTATGCAAACAAGCATCTTGCTCCTCAGTAAACCCTGCCATGGAGCTTTGGGATTGTAAATATACCCAAAATCTAAAAACATAGGCCACTGGTCACCATGGACCGCTGTTTCGCCACTTTTAAGACTCTGTTTGGTTCTGGGGACTGTTATGACAGCAATTTTATTAGATAGCACAAAGGCTTACTCTGGATTTGACCAATCAAGTCCTGCAGGGCAGAGTAAGGCACTGGTCACTTCATGGTTGAACCCATGGTCGGACTTGATGTTTCAAGAGAGGGGCAGTATGAGGGGCTGTCCTCTTGGCACAAGCCATTCGAGTATGGCAGACTTGAGGGTCTTGGTGTTGTCGCCCTACGCACCAGATGCTCCTTTGCCCATCTAGAAGAATGTGATTACTGATACACCTTTGAACATGAATGACTTACCAATTCTCTGATGTGAATGATATCCTCCTCCTCACCAGCCGTCAGACACTCTAAAAGACCAGGGTAGGAGTCTATAAGTTCCAAGAATACCCTGTGTTCCCACCGAACGCTAACATCAAACTGTAAGACACCTGATATTCAACCATGACAGTTCCACTGACTTCACTGAGTAATCATCTATGGGAGAGTCTTGTAATTCTTCTAGCTGGAGTATGCCTCCAGTCAGGAGAGAAGGATAATTGCACAGTGCAGATACAGTCCACCCAAAATGCCGACCATGAAGCACAAGGGGATTTGATGAGTTACTGATCAGGACAAGTTAGGAAGGGTGCATGTCAGCACATGAAACACCACTTACACCTTTTTGCATGGGCCCATGCAAAGTGCTGAACCAGCACATTTGGGCGAAGAACTGCCAGGAGAAGGATCATTCTCATCACCACTCATACTGGGTTGGGGACAAATTCGAATCTGATATGAGCAACAAATGAGAATTTATATGTTCAAGCATGCCATCAAGATCAAAACAGGAGGGAGCTTTGCAACCCTGTGCTATCAGAATCAGGACACGAGTGGAGTGACGTCCTAGATGCCATCAGGATCCAACTGAGACCAAACCCTGTTGTCCTGGCGCTATAAATGGTTTGGATGGCACATTACGACACCTCCCAGTGTTGTGAAACTGGCCTGCAAATTATATGTATATACAGTGGCTCAAAAAACTGTCCACATGTTTTGACATTTTTCACTATCTATGATATTGTGTGAGAAGGAACAAATGCCTCAAGGACATGCTTATAGCACATTGTAGTATGGCTTCAGGGCTTTCATTTGAGCCCTACACCGTGGGAATCTGTGGGGATATGGTGGAGACATAAGGCTTGTAAAATGATGACTCATGTGGACAGTTTTTTGAGTGTATATTAAAACTATATAAATCATTATTTATGACACCACAAAAATCATGCCACTATTATATAAATTATGAAGTGGTGTCATTATGTTATTTTATGACTATATCTAACTATATAAACCAGAATATCTCATGTATCATAGTCATAATCACCATGAAAGCCATCTCCTCTGCTCAAAGAGATAATATCCTCTCTCTGTCTTATGCTGGCCTCTCTGCTCACCAAATTTCCTCTAGAACTGGAATATGCAAGTCCACTGTGGCCAAGTTTATCAAAGAAAGCCACCCAGACAAGGAAAACTCTTGTGGAGGACGTCCATCCAAGCTTACCTCTACTGACGAAAGGGCTATTATCCAACATATCACTACAGGAAAGGCTGATAATGCTGTCCAAGCCACCCATTATATCAATTCCACCATCACTACCCCTGTCTCATCACAAACTGTGAGGAATGTTCTCAAGGCAGCTCATCTCAAGGCAGTAACAAAGAAGAAAAAGCCTCTTCTCTCCATCAAACATAGGCAGAGAAGACTAGCCTTTGCCTTAGCTCACCAACACTGGACTGTAGAGGACTGGAAGCATGCTATATGGTCAGATGAGACCAAAATCAATAGGATTGGGTCAGATGGGAAGGTATATGTATGGAAAAAGAAGGGAGATGGCCTAACAGACAGAGAGGTTAATGGGACTGTCAAGTTTGGAGGAGGTTCTTTAATGGTATGGGGCTGTATGGGATGGAATGGTGTGGGAATGCTTGCTGAGGTTGAGGGGAAGATGAATGCTGAGCAGTATGTGGACATTTTAAATGACCACTTGCTGCCTAGCTTGGCAGAATCAGGGATTGATGAAGAAGATATCATTTTCCAACAGGATAATTATCCCAAGCACACATCCAGAAGAGCTAAGGAATGGTTTGAAGAACATAACATCAATGTTCTTGACTGGCCAGCACAGCCTCCTGATGTCAATGTCATTGAACATCTCTGGGGAATACTCAAGAAAAAGCTTCAAGCCTATGAAAACCCCCCTAAAGGAGTATGGGAGCTTTGGGAGAGAGTAGCAGTGGAATGGGGGAAGATTACAGCTGAGGATTGCCAGAAATTAATTGAGAGTATGCCTAGAAGGATAGAGGCAGTAATTAAAGCCAAGGGAGGTCATACAAAATACTAGAATACCTGGTTATTATTGTAAAATACTTGAGTCAAAAAACTGTCCACATGAGTCACCATTTTGTGAGCCTTGTATCTCCACCATATCTCCACCGATTCCCACGGTGTAGGGCTCAAATGAAAGCCCTAAAGCCATACTACAATGTGCTATAAGCATGTCCTTGAGGCATTTGTTCCTTCTCACACAATATCATAGATAGTGAAAAATGTTAAAACATGCGGACAGTTTTTTGAGCCACTGTATAGGGTATGGGAACCGGCACTGTTGCAGCTACAATCAGCAACAATTCCCATATCATGCAAAGCAGCGCACAGGTAGAACCTCAGACACCAGGCTCACTCTCTCAGCAGCATTTGGGACAATGTATTCTCATTGGAAGTACTGTTACCCTCAGGCAAGTCCATCAGTATTGCACATAGTACAAAACTCATACAAGATTCACTTACAGCTTCCCAATTTCCTCGGTGCATATGCATAGTTGCTCTGATGTTGGCACTGATTGCAAGTAAGTGATACAATTACATAAAAACTCAGAACAAGACTTACCATACAGGGGATATCAAAACAATGAATCATTCAGAGCAACACAGACTATGAGTGAGAATTTGAAATCCAGATGTGTGCGTTGATCTAACGAAAAAAACCATCTAGGCACCAGTGAACATTGTACACACCAAGAAGTATCCGAGCTGCATCGAACAAAGGACCAGCTAAAAGAAGTGGAAGAGAGAATCAAGTATCTCGGGGATAGGGTGATAATGTACAGGTACAGATGGTTGGAGGAGTACTACTGTGCCAACAACCTCGAGTGTCATATGCCCAGTGGTATCCATGTACCTGGTATAGGGAATGAGATTCCTCCAGGCATATATTGCCCATATGACAACTCATGATGATTGGTACAGTGCACAACTTACCCTCTATGACTTTCCCATGAAACGCGCCAGAGGCGTGACGCTTTCTCTTCCCACACTTGGTCGCACTTTGTTGCGCAGCATCCCAGAGCACCCATCCATTGTCCAACCAGTTCCCTAGTGAGTCCTTCCCTGTTTATTCTCATTATCAGACCATATTTAGCATTATATGATATCTTATTTTGTCATGGACCCTTAGTTACATCATTTTACATACTTAGAGCACTCCCTATTCACTTCTGAGCCCTGGGAGCACACCTAGGCACAGCTTACTTGTGGCCTAGGAAGTTTTCATACAACCACCACAGACAAATACAATGAACCACCACAGAATACACAAACCACCATCATGTCACTTAGTATCTCATAGTGAGAATCATCATCTTCAGTTAGCATGCATTAGTCATCGCCCTAGTCTTCAGCAACAGTCTACTATCATCAGTCTCCAATCAGCAGTCTCAGTTCATGCCTTCATGCCATCCTTCAGTCTTTATACATCCGTGCACCAGCTTGTGCTCTATTCCCACGCTTCATGCTCCTATGCACTCAACATTCCTGCATGCGCACTTTCAGTGCACTTTACCAGAGTTGACCTGGTGTCACTTTGTGGATCCTTGCTTTCCTTGCTTCCCTTAATGGTCAAACATATCGCTTGGCGCATTTCAACCAATGCTTAGAGAGTCAGTAGCCTTCCTCTCACCCCAGAGGTAGAGGTTCTCTTTCTTTCTTTTGCTCTGCAAGCCTAGCAGAGTTGTTGAACCTTCACCGGCCTTGCTCAAATACCACAAGGTACCTCATTGTGGGAAACACAACAAGAAGAGAACTGGAAAGTAGACTTCTAATGTTGGGCTAAATGTGCTATGCCTAGCTGCTATTCAACCCTAAAGGGTTTCTGGACTAGACTCAGTGCTCAGAGAGAGTAGGAAATCATGCTAATAACTCTCAGTCTCAGACTGGTGCTGGTAGGTGGTGAAAACTATGATGATTACATAAGCACCAAAAGTGCGAACATAACACTAAGTAATATCTGCCTATACAAGCCCACAGAATATGAAATCCCTACATTGTCTCCTGGCTTCTGCCCAGAGTTCTTGGTCAGGGATAGTATGTAAGAAATTCAAGACTGGAGTAATTGAAAGAGGGCACCTGTGGGAGGATGTATTTCGTGCCAAAGTTAGATTCATGACTACTCCAGTATAGTATTGATACATAGTATATCACATCATACTTTGTGCCTGTTCTACAAGACATATCTGATCAAAATGCAGGGTAATACTACTTGTAGGTGAAATTGCAACCTCAATGCTATTCTTCTTCACATTACATTTTGTGACAGTAAATATATGTCCGTGAGAATCCCCTTCCAAAACAAGGACCTGTTGTTTTTTTCTGCATGGGGGAGCTGGGCTCAGATCCTTGGCGGGAATGTGGTAGTGTTGAAGTGTAGCCCCTGCATTATTGGATGTGCAGAATACAGCAATATAATCTTCAGGTGTGGGTCTGTTCACACTGCAGAAGGGGTCAGGACAAGCTGTGAACACAAATCGTTTGTGTAATCTGCCTCCCATGAAACCTACAGTGACTTTCAACACTGTGTGATGCAGAAAGAGCATTGAGGAATACTCCTTGCCCATTAACCAGGGTAGAGGGCCTTCAATACAATACAATAAGCAAAATATCTGATTGCTTGTCATATCCCACAATCCAGACCCACATTCCATCATATTCCCACGCCTTCCGAGCCTACGTCCGGACCACACTTCATATCCAACTCATTCCCAGATCCCCTTCTGCTATGTGCTCCACATCTCAGCAGGATTGACTATGCTCCAGATTTACCCCTGAGATCTGGACCATCGGATCTCCACTGCTAGCCTGAACCATAACCCCCTGTCCCATCCACCCTATGAACACTCCATCCAGCAAGACATCTGGACTTTACCTCGTCTCAGATTCTGGACCCTATCCACCTTCTCATATCCTGGTCCTGTATCCACCTTGTCTTCCAGATCCCCAGACCTCCAGATATTACCTCCGGACCTATTCCCACCCTCTGTCCAATATCCTGCGCCTATCCCCATTTAGGCATTCTCTGCCTTCTGGCTTTCGGTTACCTCCTGTTCCATCTTGCTTATTGATCCTTGTATGAGTCTTCATCTCCAAGTTCATTTACTTATGTTCTGTCTTACTTACTAATGTGTTTCCACATGCTCATACATAGCCTTGCTCCTTTGCTTACTGATCCCCTCAGATAGTCTCCAGTATATAACCCCTGTAGATACTCCTGTAGTTTCCTTAGTTTGAATATCATCTTAGACTTGCCCAATCCTCTCTTGGACTTTGGTCCACCTAAGTCTGTCCTACCCATCAGGCCTAGGGATTGATTCCCTAGGCCGGAGCTCTGCCTTTCCAGCACTTACCCTCTTTCCGGACTTAGGTCCAATCCCTG